GAGGCTGATAGTAAAGAACATTTTTTATGTAGAACAATGATTAAAATGGTTTTAGAGGATTTCTAACTACACCGATTTGATTTTAAACTGGTAAAAATATATAAGTAAATAGCCTTCCTAAAACCATTTTTACCGTTATTTTACATACAAAATGTTAAGCTAAATATTGTACGACGGTTAACAAATTAGCGAAAATATCACTTTCAATATAATTAGCAGAAAAATTAACAATTTTTTGTCATAAAAACCCCAAAAATACGAATGTGAAAATTTAAATTTTTTGCCTTTCTTACTTTTTTCATTAAAGTACACAACAAATATGGTGCTACATCCAGGCACATTTACATTTATACATTTCAGTTCTTGGTTTTTCTCTTTTTACTTGTAAAATAAACATTTCTAAAATAAATGTATTTTTTTATTGTTCTTCGTATTTTCTGTCTTTTTTTAGGCCTTATTTTGCTTTTTTTGCAATACCCAGTGCCTTTTCCGCTATTTTATTTTTCCTTTTCCAACCTATTTCGTTATTTTATTTTGCTTTTTTTGCAATACCCAGTGCCTTTTCCGCTATTTTATTTTTCCTTTTCCAACCTATTTCGTTATTTTATTTTGCTTTTTTTGCAATACCCAGTGCCTTTTCCGCTATTTTATTTTTCCTTTTCCAACCTATTTCGTTATTTTATTTTGCTTTTTTTGCAATACCCAGTGCCTTTTCCGCTATTTTATTTTTCCTTTTCCAACCTATTTCGTTATTTTATTTTGCTTTTTTTATAGGTTTTTAGGTCCTAAAAATCCGATCCCTGGTAATGAGAGTCGGAGTGCAAGAAATTTCAATACGCTCTTCCCCCTTCATGCTGGCTCTTGATTTTACATCTCATCTAGCACCTAAATGTGCCAATCCCCACGACTGGGAACCACTTTGCCCATCTCTGGTGTAGCATTCCAATTCTAACTGTTCATGCCAATAATTAAAATAAAATTGTATAAATCGTACCAACCGGTGGCAACCATGTGAACCGGCACTTACAAATCGACACCTGAGTGGACGATCGACCTATCTCGGCAGCCATTTCGAAAATACCCTATCTCAGAAAACTTTTCAAAAACAACCTACTTCAGAATTTTATTGAAGAACGCCCTATTTCAGAATTGGGTTGAAGAACGACCTATCTCAGAATTTGGGTCAAAAATGTCGTATCTCAGCTGAAAATACGCGTTTTTTGAATCGGCAGCTGAGATAGGGCGTTCATCAATCAAAATCTGAGAAAGGGCGCTCTACAACCAAATTGTGAAATAGGGCATTCTCGAAAAGTTTTCCGAGATAGAGCGTTTTCGAACTGGCTGCCGAGATAGGTCGATTTCCCACACAGGTATCGAAATGCAATAAAATATAAAATTAAATTAAATTTCAAGTTCTGGTGAAAAAAATGTAAGTTTTAGTCCAAGTCGTTTTTCAATCAAATTCTGAAAAAGGGTGTTTTTTAAAATTTTGCTGAGAAACAGCGTTTTCGAACCGGCTGCCGAGATAGGCCGATCTTTCAATCAGCCGGCGGTATTAATCAGTTAAGACTAAAACCCATAATTTAAGAACAAGCGCAAGCAGTGTTTTGAATTCGTTAAGAGTGTTTTCAGTGCAAAGAACTTCAATCTTTTATTCCTTTATTAAACACACATATACAATCTTTTTATAGCATAATCCAATTCACTGACATCTAAGACATCTCACCTCTAACATGAGATATGTTTTAGGAACATCCGAATAGCCGCCCTAAATTGGCAAAGAACCATTTATGGAAAATAGTTTTAGTTCCTTTGGATACCTATACGACTACGAAGGCTGTTCATAATAGAAGAAAAGCTTCTGATGCAAAGCCTACTATAATTTTTATACAAATAAATATCTACATATGTAGTATGTACATTAGACTGCATCACTCCCCATACAAAAAAAAAATCGCTACTATTTTTCCATTGGAATTATAAAATCTATTATATTTTAAGACGTCCACCAAAATATTTCGGAAAAATATTAAGATTTAAGTAAGCTGGACCGATTTGAAAATACCTCCAAAAATGGAGTTTTTTATGAATAAAAATAGTTTCTTCAAGATTTTTTTTTGAAAAAAATTCCCTCAAATGACAAAATGGTTTAAGCTTAAAATATTTGCATAAAAATATTTAAAAAAAAAATAGAAAAAAATTTTGAACGGAATGTAATGCGATATTTGATGCTGTTTTTTAACTTTTTTCAAAGATAATATAGGAAAAACTTGAATAACTGAACCTAAACTCTTCCGATTTAGACTCGAGAGGTGTCATTGGAAAGGTATTTTCTCACCCTTTTTATTTCTTTGCTAATAAACTCATTCAAAGGATGAAAGAGAAAGGTAGGATGAACGAACGTCACTCAAAGTTGAATTAAGATGTGTTGGTATTCGAAAAAACAAAATGGGACACGAATGACGTTTTTTGGTCAGAAATAAAAACAGTGTGAAAATACCTTTCTACTGAGATCCCATATGTCTAAATCAGAACATTTTTGAAACAGCTATTCAAGTTTTTCGTAAACCAATCTTTGAAAGAAGTAAAAAAACAGCATCAAAAATCTCATTCTTACGATTCTGTTGAAAAGATTTTCAAATATTTTTATGCAGATTTTTTAAGCTTAATCTAATTTGTCATCTGAGGTGACTTTTTTCAAAAAGTTCTTTAAGAAACGTCTTAAAATATAACAAATTTTGTAATCCCGGCGGAAAACCGCATCTTTTTTTGGTGATGCAGTCGAATGTACATACATATGTATGTACATACGTATTGGAGAAATAAAGATTTTAAAAATGGAAATTTTTAAACATACATACATAATTAAAATAAAATTTTTAATAAATAAACCGTAAAATAAAGTTGAGCTGTGAAGTGCTTATCGCACTATTTTTCTTATATGTACACATACAAATGCACAAGAACTACACAATCAGCTAACATTTGGCGTCTTTTGCATAACCCAGCTGCGCTTCCGTAGTACTCACAGTAATTCTCACCCAGATCATCGTCTCGTATCTCATTCTCAAGAATTAAAGCATTACTCGTTATACTAAATATTTTGTTGTTATGCATGTATATGTCTTTTAATTGATAAATAAAGCAAACTCGCAAAGTATGAGCGCTAAATAAAGTACGACAACAACAAACAATTGAGAGACCTCACGTTGCTGATGGGTATAAATAAAGCGCGGTTAAACATGATTTTGAACAGTTGGTGAACGAAAATTCAGTGGAGCACTGCGTGCATAGAAAAATTAATTTAAAAAATTTTCCGCCTCAACAAAATTAATTTGGAAATTGCTCACTTTCATTTAAATAATTAGTGTAAATTCAAAACAGTTATTTTAATACATACATATATACATAAAATGGCTTTGGAAATCACAACTACTGACTACGCTCTACCTGACTTGAAAGATATTGTAAGTACTATTATTAAGAAAATATCAAAAACAATTTATTTATTCGCTGTTCAAGTTTGCTGTGTGACAAAAATTGGATAACTATTCGTAGTGGATCGTCTCTCTGTCTTGCATATTAAACAAGCTATTGGTTTAGAATTTATTAGTGTTTTCCGTAAAGTGACTGCCAGAATGAAGAAATTGCGTACTAAGCGTAATTATTGTTTTGATTTTTCAGAGTGTAGTAAGTTGTTTTTTTTTCACACAAATTTTGTGATTTTTTGAATCTTCCCTTTAATAAAAAATTTCTGATGTAAAAGTGCATGGATGTTTTATGCTTTTCTGAGTTTTTAAGTCTTTTTTATATTTTTAATTAAATTTTTAAAAGAAAAGAACTTGGAACCTAAATGGTTTTACTTACAGTAATGTAATTTTTGAGAACTCGTCTTCAAAGTAAAAAAATGGGGATGCTAGAAAGTGAACAAATATTTTTAACGCTTTATATCTGTTGTAATTATTGTGAATTCGAACGATTTTTTGTATAATCATGACAATTTCAACTGCAATTTAATAAAAGAATTTATGTAGAGTTCCACTTCTATTATTTTTTTCGCATGCTATTATAATTTACCCAAAATCAATTCTTTAATTCACTTTTGTGTGAATTCTTAATGTTTAAATATTACGATTTTATAAGTTAGTGTTTTTGATGTATTGTGGAACGATTTCCGTCATTCCCTGTCAAATTTGGTTTGAAGACGAACGGGCTTCGGCTTAATGCCATCTTAAGTGTAATTTTACGAACAAACATGAACGAACGTACAAAGCCGGAAAATCGAGCCATAATTGTCTCTTTTATTACGTTTGCCAATATGTATTTAAATTCGCATTTTATTATTCTTTGGAACAAATTTTGTTAGCTTGGCTCTGCTCATTTGCAAATTAAGTACACAATTCCTCACGCTTACAAATGAACATACATACATACACATGTATCTATGTATATTAGGGTGGTCCAAAAAAAAGTAAAGTCGGAATTTTAGTGCGCCCACCCCTAGGATTGTTCTGTATCTATAATATTTAGAGGTCGCTCAAAGCGCTCAAAGTTTTCCATGTATTTTATATGGGGAAAAAACATATATCGTAGAAATGGTATAGAATTGTTCTAAATCAATATTTTTCGATCAGCAAACTCTGTTTCTCTTTAAGGGGCTGCCATTAATAATACCCTTTTTTAACCATTTTTTGATATTGACTTTTTATTATAAGTCCCCCAAAAATACCAAAAAAAAACCAATGGCGGACCTATAAAAATCGTTAGTATTAAAAAATTGTAAAATAAACTAATGGGTGTTATTATTGGAAGTCTGCTGAAGAGAAACAGAGTTTTCCGATCGAAAAATATTGATTTTCGAGAATTCAATACCATTTCCACGAAAATTGTTTTTTCCCATATAAAATACATGGAAAACTTTGAGCGCTTTGAGCGATCTCTAAATATTTTTTGATTTCGATATAAAAAAAAAA